CCAGCCTCTGGGGAATGAGCAGAATGACCTCTAAGAGACAAGACTGTGTATTGAACGGGGCTTGACCCTGTCACCGATGTGCTGTGGAGCCTGTGGCGCCTCATGCCCCTCTCTGTGTCTCAGTGTTGCCATCTATATAACGGAAGCACCAGACTCCTTAACCTAAAAGGTCCCTTTCTGCTCTGAACTCTAAAGATGTGAAATGTTCATAACAGTCCTGTGACCCCATGTCCACGAGAACACGAGGAAGGGCTGGATGCCCAAAGGAAATCATTTTATCCATTCCCCTCCCCCAAATAGCTGTGACAGACACCCTGGTCTCCTCTAGGCAAATGTAAAGCTTCTACCTGTCTGCCACAGACTCTTTCTGAGCTCCTGTAACACTGTCAGGGCCCCAGCCTTTTTCTTGCCCATTTCTTCTTTCCAGCCTTTTTCTTGCCCATTTCTTCTTTCCTGTATCCCTGCACTCAAACCATTAGAAATGTAGTAAGCAGTGCCTGGGAGCCAGGCACTGTGTTAGGCACACTAGGGAGGCAGAGATGAATAAGGCTCAGTTCCTGTCTTCAGGGGGCTCACTCAGCCAAGCAGCGAGACGCAAGTATATCTGTGAGATGATACCCAACAATACTAAGAGGTGGTTCACATAGGAGTTCAGAGGCAGAAGGACAGTTTCTGGGATCCAGATGTATGTGCTTGAGTAGAGGGCAGGTCAGAGGCTTCTCTGAGGCTGGAACTTAGATCAGACTTTGAAAGGTGACCATCCCCACTTTCTAGAGGAGGCTGACTGCAGGGAGAGAGGGAGAACTGGCTGGTCTAGGCAGGGGTCTGGGTGCCAGGCTGTAGGACTGGCCATCTCCATGCTGTCCTTCTTGCTTCCCTCCCAGCTGGGTCGGCTATCAGTATCCTGGCTACCGCGGGTACCAGTATCTCCTGGAGCCTGGTGACTTCCAGCACTGGAATGAGTGGGGGGCCTTCCAGCCGCAGATGCAGGCTGTGCGTCGCCTGCGTGATAGGCAGTGGCACCGTGAGGGCTGCTTCCCAGTTCTGGCCGCTGAACCCCCCAAATGAGTCCACACTCCCCTTTTCCTCCCTCCTCCCACCCCTTCCTCAGGCTCAATTTTCCTGTCTTTCCCATGCAAATAAAAGTTCCTAAAGCCAAAATGTCTCCTGGGTCTGTGAACAGATATGTGCCTTGAGGTCCCCCATCATTGCTGTCATGTGACTTCCTCAGTCCCTGCAAAGTTATTTGCATACGTTCTCTGAGTATATTTTCTGAACTACCCTAGAAGGCCGATATTATAATTATTCCCCTTTAACAAGTGAAGATATCGAGGCTCAGAGAGGAAAACTTGCCTAAAGTCACACAGCTGGCAATTTGTGTTTGAGAACTGAACCCAGACTGTCTGGCTCTAGATCTATACTCCTAAACAAATTTGTATTTTCAAACTCCACTGTTCCACGCACCACTCTCATGATGTCTGCCCTCTGTGCTTACCACCTGCTTTGTTATTTACTTAATATTTTTGTTTGAATAGACTTGTTATTTTGTGCTTAAAAGGATTGATTTATAAATAAGGCTTCGTAACACTACGGGAAGTAGACAATCAGCATCATATGCCATAGGCAGAAAGCAATCTTATAAACAAATACAATTTAAAGAAGGCCAAGTATAGAGTTCTCAGCAGACACCATTGCCTGTGAAAGGCTCTAAGCCTGCAACCTGCACACTCTTTGACAAAATGGGTAATTAGTGAGTGTCAGAGATATGAAAGACATGCTTGCACCAAATTGAAATATTTCTCCATGATTTAATCAAGGAAGATTGACAAAAGCATTATTTTCTTGTATCCAATTCAGTGTTATATAATCCTGGGTCCAGCTTCCACTTAGAATCATCTCTCTTTCTACAAACGGTATATTTCCTGCTTTTTGGAAATCTGCACCAGGCAATATTGACTCTCATATCACCAGTGAGCATTGATTGATGTTATTAACCTTTAATCCATGCAGGAAGCCTGGTGGAGGTGTTGCCATGGTTATCTTCCTGGAGGAGGGGATATCTGAAGGAGGCCTTGAAGGATGGAGTCGGAGCTTGCTTAGTGGAGAAGGGAGAGGAGGAGGACAGGCCAGGCAGAGAAAACAGCAGGCTCCCTGCTAATGATAAAAAGATGCCTTTTCCTCAAGACATTTCACTGCCAGCTGCCAGAAGTTATTGGTATAAATCTGTAATGTCTACGATGAGAATGTGGCACCCTTGTGCTGTGCTCAACTTGCACAACTGCACTTGGCAGATCTGAACACCGTGGGCAAAGGCACAGAGGTTGAGAGAGCTTGCGGTGGGCTCAAGTGAAGCTTATTGAGGTGGGAGGAGTACGTTGGTGGTTGTGTGGGCAGAAGTAGGGGGTGGGAAGGAGATGCTGAGTGTGGCAGAGGTGAAATTAGAAAGGCGGGGCCTCATGACACCTCCTCTGTGGTTTTGCTGAGCTTCAAACTTGAGGCACCACCTGACATAGAAGGGCTTACCCTCTGGAGCAGCACGCACCCCTGCCTCTTCCTCCTGTCCGCAGCTCTTTCAACCTCCATCCTCCAATTTGCCCAGCACTTTCCGTTAGAAGATTGTCCTGTCTTGACCTAAAAGACGAGATTCCTGGGCAGGAATCAGGAGACACCGGTGTTAGCCCCACTGTACTGTTAGAAGCTGCAGTGTTGGGCAAATCGCTTCTATTCCCTGGGATGCATTCTTCCCATCTGTGAGATGGCAGCTCAAATGGCCATCCAGCCCCAAGATTCTGACACTGGGATTCTATGGTTCCAAAATTCCATGATTCTCCAAGATTCTGTAATTTATCTCTAAGCTTCCAAGAGTCTCAGAGTCTAAACTCGAGCCACATAGATTCCCATCCTCAGTATCTAAGGTCTATGAGTGCAGCTCTATTATTCTCCTGCAGTGGAGTCAAGCCTTACAATCACGTGAGCCGCACAAACCCAACTTGTGTATCTCCTATGTGCTAAGATCTCACTGACAGCAAGAGGCACCATGATTTTATGATCCAAGTGTGAGTCCAATGAAAGGAAAACATAACAGAAATTCATCGATTAAGTTAGTCCTAAAACTTCTTTTCATAGTCTAGATCTTCTGGATGGTTTTCACCTCAAAAGTGTCAATCTCCTTATTTTCTCACAGGTGTTATATGAAAAAAATGCACATATTAGCATCACTGAAACATGATGTATACACTTGGCAACACAAACAAAAACTGGAAGAAAATAACAAAAGTAATTATATTTAACGTATTGCTTCATCGATACAGTTATTCAAATTTTGCTAATGAATTTATTAATAACCAAATGTACTAAAAACAGAACAGATGAAAATTACAAACAAAAACAAAAAACAAAGATAAAAAGAAATAAGTAAAAGAAAATAAATATGAACGGGAAGTGAATGTGGCACAAGAGTTATAAATCTGTTGTTCTTTTTGTGGGTCCTAGTTTCAACATGCATCTCAAAATGTTAGTCTCTCACCAGAGCTTAAAGTTAAGTCACATTTTTTGCCTCAAGATCAAAACTTTGAGTTTTGACTTCATTAGGTGCTCAACTGAAGAAAGAATGGTGGGTACGATGCTGGAGGTGACCAGTGGAGCTGGAGTTGGCAGAGTAGCCATGCTGCTCACAGCCTTCGCGGGGGGCTCCTCAGTGCTGGTTTAGACTATGCATGAGTTTTGCCCTAAACAAGGTCTTCAGAATGCAATACCTGGACGAGCTGGGACATCACTGTGTTTTATTGCTAGATTTCAGCTCATGAATCTTTGAGTCGCAGGCCTTTGGGAAGACAAAGCACATTGGTTGTGGAATATCATCTCCATCCATGGCAACAGGAATCAACTCACAATCTTTTGGACATTGAGGCACGGACACAAAGTCAGCAGTGTGTGTACAAGGGGTGGGTGAGGGTAGGAGGACCACCCAGAGGTGTGATCATTTTGTGGCAGCACCAGATGCTGATGGACACATAGCAACTGAATTTTGGGAAAAGGGTGTGGTGCCAGCGTGCCCTAAGGAGAGTCTAGAGAGGTGAGTAGCTCTTTAGAGCCATGTTGCCATGACAGCCAGTCACCTGGATCAGATACTCAAGATCAGAGAGCTCTGTGAAGCTTGGGTTCCCAGACAGGCACGGTAACCCCAGCCTTCCAGCAGGAGAAGAGAACCTGCCCTTCTACCTTGGTTTCCTGCCCATTGTGGGGCCACCTGCTTCCACCACTGTACTGAGTTTGCATCTACTAGTTATTGCCCTAGGTCAAGTCAAATTACTTGATGGAGCCTCCATTTCCTCATCTGTAAAATGAAAGTAATGATAAAACCTGGGCAGATTGTGGGGAGGGATAAATGATCAGCTTGAATATGATACTTACAAGGTGCTCAGAGCACAGCAAGATGCAGCAGCAGCACCAGCAGCAGCATCTTTTCAAATGTCAGAGCTGGAAAGAGTTTTAGAATCAAAATGTTTTATGCCACCTTTATTCTTCCTGCTTTGGAAAAATATTGACTAAGGGCCTCCCAAGTACCAGGTTTGTCTAGATCCTGGGGATGCAGTTTGGGAGAGAAGACAGAGGAGGCCCTGCCTGGTCATTCGTAGACTGGAGGAGGAGATAGGAATGAGCTATTTCGTCTGTCTTCAAAGTCACACCAAATTCCCAGGCTTCACGGTCCATCATCCATCCCATCAGGATGCTCTGGGAGGTGATGAGGCTACCTCAAATAGGTAACAGTCAGCTTGAGACCTGAAGGGGTTTGCTGAGTTAGAAGACTGAGAGGAGAAGGCCCGACCCAGAAACTAGAAGATCATTCTAGTTCTCTTCTTTAGCCCTGCAAAAGATCTGCCAGTTCCGTCTTGCAAACATCTCTGGAACTCAACACTCCATCCATGCCCCTGGTTCCACCCTAGGTTGGCCAGCCTCTCCTGGAGTATTTCGGCAGCCTCAAATCAGTCTCCCTGCCTGTACTCCTTCATGCAGCAGCCAAATGGACCTTTGCAGGAAGCTAAGGCTAACCATGTCCTCCCCCTGCTGAATATCTTCCATGTTTCTCCATCATTGCAAGATGAAGTCCCGACTCCTTCCCATAGCCCACAAAGCCCTGCAGCATCCAGCCCCTGCAGACCCCTCTGGCCTTCTCTCACCCATCCCCACACATCCTGTCCACCTACCTTGCACTTCATGCAGACCTCACCACAAAGGATCTACCCGGGTGCTGCACCTTTGCACCTGTGGGTCCTTGTGACTGGTCATACTCTTATATGTACCCTCATCTAGGCTCAGGTCTCAGTATAAAGACATAGTATAAATACTCTGGCCCCCTTCCTTCCTGGGCCAGGTTAATATCCCCCGTTCCCCACTCCTCGATGCTTGTTGGAGAGTCCAGGTTCCCCCACTTGGGCACAGGACCCTAGTGCTCCTTTTACTTGCTGACTCCCAGCACCCAGAACAGGGTGCTCAGGAAACGCTGTACCTAGAATGTTATTAAACACATGCCTTCTTCAGACCTCTTCCCTTGATCTTCATTTCTCCACCCACAAAGGGACATTATAAAACACTCAGCAGAGTTACTATGCAGTTTGTCATAAAAAGCCTCTAATATGTATACGATAAACACTATATAATACTGTTCTATTGATTCCAGACCAGTAACAGCAGCTCCGTGAAGGCAGAGGATTTAACTCCGTCAGTTCCAGCACTTGCTGTATGGCATGCACTATTTATTGGATATAGAAACGAATTAATGAGTGAGCTATGAAGGAACAAATGGCTGGCCATAGACAAATTACTTAATATCTGTGTGCCTTGGTTTCCTTATCTGTATGATGGGGATGATAGCAGACCTATCATAAGGCTATTAAAGGTTTAAATGTGTAAATATAAAGTGTTTAGCGCAATGCCTGGAACTTAGCAAGTAATTTTAAATAGAGATACGAAATGTTTGCTGTTATGGTTGTAACTGTTAAAGACATTTATTTTAAACAAGTAATATATACATATGGGAAAAATTAAAATATTCAAACAGAATAACA